GGGTGCAGTGATGAGCCACAGACAAGGTGCAGAGATGAGCCACAGACAGGGTGCAGAGGTGAGCCACAGACAGGGTGCAGAGATGAGCTACAGACAGGGTACAGAGATGAGCCGCAGACAGGGTGCAGAGGTGAGCCGCAGACAGGGTGCAGAGGTGAGCCGCAGGCAGGGTGCAGAGGTGAGCCGCAGGCAGGGTGCAGAGGTGAGCCGCAGGCAGGGTGCAGGGGTGAGCCGCAGGCAGGGTGCAGGGGTGAGCCGCAGGCAGGGTGCAGGGGTGAGCCGCAGGCAGGGTGCAGGGGTGAGCCGCAGGCAGGGTGCAGGGGTGAGCCGCAGGCAGGGTGCAGAGCCACAGGCAGGGTGCAGGGGGGGTGAGTTGCAGACACGGGATGCAGAAGTGAGCTTCGGGGTCCTATCTTCCCACACGGTGCACCAAGCGCACTCACTCACTACTCCGCCTCTTCCTCACTGGCCAATGATCACCCCTGGGGCATTGGCTTCCATGCATTAGGCTTCAGGCTGAGATGCCCTGCCCCCGCCCCACCCCTAAACACACTGCACCCTCAGATATCTGTTCCATCCCTGTCCCACAGTGAGTACAGAGGTAGGGGGGTTCTGTGGGAGCGGATGGTGCTGTAACTTACAAGAGGGATTGTCACTTGGAAACACAAGAGCCGTGCTTCTGTGTTTATAGGAGACAGTAGATATTGGTGTACACAGGGCCAGTGCCAGAGGTGGTGGAACAGCTGATCACAACTAGGTCTTATTTTCAGGGTAGATCTTATACTTCAGCAATTCCCAAAAACAGTACTAGGTCTTATTTTTGGGGAAGGTCTTATTTTCGAGGAAACTGTATATACAAGTTCAGGATTTTGCTGCACTCCTCGATATCTTTATTAAACGCGTTCCCTCCAAGGTATGAGTAAGCGTTGTATTTAGCACAAAACACCTTGCCGTTTTGTGCACCTGCCATATTTGTGATTACATTTTATTATTGCAATAAAGATATGGAGGACTTCAGCAAGCCTGTGTATATCTACATGGTCTTGCAAACAAGCTGTGCCAGCACTCTTGATACATGCTCACAACACGAAGGAGTCCATCACTCACCTGGAGTGGCATTATCTCGGTTTTTCCTTCTGTAACAAGTGGGATACCTTCTTGTTTTGATGCAATTTGACTTTCGTGTTTATTTAAGAAGTCAACTTTATTTGGGGAGTACAGTGGTGAGGATTTGGGGCACACTGGAATAAATGAGTGCTAACCCCTTTTGTGACACCTAAGTCATAGTTTAATGAGTGGCACAAAGTACTATCACTATTTGGACTTTATGAGTGAATTTTTTATTTTATTTATCTTTTCACTTAGCAAAAATATTACGTTTTATTTATGTTGAGTACCGCAAGGATACTTTAAGTGCTGTCTTCTCTCATTAGAGGGTTAAGTTAGTTATTTTCTGGGAATGGTAAACCTATACATGGCAAAGTAATTAGATGATGTTAATGCAGGCCTCAACAGACCCATATTCTGCACTTACCTTCCTGACACTCCATTAATAGAAGGAAATCCCTATGTAATGTATGTGTCGCTGGCTTTGCGCATGAACCAGCTTTGCTTGCTGGCTTCTTTTGGAAACTTCCGTGGCAATAGTCAGTTGGGCTCTCCTCATGAATGGAGGGTGACCGCTGAGCTCCCCCTAGCCGTGGGTGCAGTTTAGTTTCAAAGTTGGGTAAATTTATTTTTTTAAAGGAAAATGAATTCGGATCACAGAGGAACATCAAGGAAGGATTTGTGGCTAATAAAGGTAATAAAGGTGGTGCTTGCATGCAACACCTGTAAATCCCATATGGGCAAACACAGCCTTTGTCAAGGATGTACGCTTAAGAACGCCCAAAGAAATGAGGCCTATGTCTCCCAGATGCAAAGATTTCTATATGCACCCACCAGCCACTTTATTAGGTACACCTGCTCAATTGCTTGGTGACACAAATTGCTAATCAGCCAATCAAATGGCAGCAACTGAATGCATATAGGCATGTAGACGTGCTGACGATGACTTGCCGAAGTTCAAAACAGGCATCAGAATAGGGAATAAATGGGATTTAAGTGACTTTGAACGTGGCATGGTTGTCATTGACAGACTGGTCTGAGTATTTCAAAAACTGCTGATCTACTGGAATTTTTACACACAACCATCTCTAGGGTTTACATTTAATGGTCCAAAAAAGAGAAAATATCCAGTGAGCAGCAGTTGTGTGGAGGAAAATGCCTTGTTGATATCAGAGATCAGAGGAGAATGGGCAGACTGGTTCAGCTGCGACATTCAAATGGTTGGGTTAGAATTTGGTGTAAACAACATGAAAGCATGGATCCTATCCTGCCTTGTATCAATGGTTCAGGCTGCTGGTGGTGGTGTAATGGTGTGGGGGATATTTTCTTGGCACACTTTGGGCCCCTTAGTACCAATTGAGCATCATTTAAACTCCACGGCCTACCTGAGCATTGTTGCTGACCATGTCCATCCCTTTATGACTACTGTGTCCCCATCTTCTGATGTCTACTTCCAGCAGGATAATGTCACAAAGCTCAAATCATCTCAAACTGGTTTCTTGAACACGACAATGAGTTCACTGTACTCCAATGGCAACTAGCAAGGTGTACCTAATAAAGTGGCAAGTGAGTGTATATTCACTGGGAGAGATTTACTAAAACTGGAGCACACAAAATGTAGTGTACCTGTGCATAATAGCCAATCAAGTTCTAACGTCACCTTGTCCAATTAAGTTTTGAAAATAAAACCTAGAAGCTGATTGGTTACTATGCACAGGTACACTACATTCTGTGTGCCTCAGTTTAAAGTGGAAGGGGAAGTTCCACTTTAAGGCTTTGTCCCCTACTCCCCAGAGGACTAGCATTTTTGGGGAGCTGGGGGGGAATGGGTAATTGTCAGTACCCGCTCCCCCCAGTTCCCCAAAGGTGCCAGCCCTCATGGGAGCGGGGGACAAAGCCTTAAAGGTGAAAAGGTGATTGGATACGGAAGTAGTCCTCCCCCCCCCCTCCCCGTAGTCTTCTGGGACACGTAACAGGTCCTAGAAGACTACGGAGCCATTCACAAAGCGCAGTGCTGCTGCGCATGCGCAGTGGGCACCCGGCTATGAAGCCGCAATCTGTCACAGCTGGGTGCCCACACTGAAGATGCCGGTGCTGGGTAGAAAAGACGGGCCGACTGTATATTAAAATCAGCTGTGGCGCTGGACCAAGGGACAGGTAAAGTGTCTGTATATTAAAAGTTACTAAAATTCACCTGCCACTCCACTATAGGTAACATTTTTATTGTTTTTTTTTCATTTTAGGCTAGGATATAGGCGGGCAAGTGCTGTAAGAATACACACAAATATGAACATCCAGTTATACTGCACAATAGAAAATAAAAATTGACTTAAAAGAAGCCAAAACAAATCCCCAGTGACATATCTGGCTGTTTATGTTCCCATTGAGAGAAGAAAATGCTAACTGAGCTCTTGCAAAATACATTTGAGCATAAAAAACACACAAAAAGTGAATAATTCATAAGTCATGGTGATCTCTACCTGGCAGGTTGGCTTTGTACTGTTGGAAAATCTATACTCCTAAAAAAAAAAAAATATGTGTGTTTACTTTAAACAAACAAACAAACAAAAATAAAAAATCCCAGAATGTTCTTCAACGACATATTTTTCACATCTGTTTGAAAAAGATTCTGAAACAGGCCTATTTGAGGTTTAGATAGAAAAGAACAGAATGAGTTGGGAAGAAAAAAGGAAAATAGTGAATTATCCTGTGGGGTGAACTGGTAAATAAAGGGGGTGGGGGGGATCATTACTACACCTGACCCCATTCATAAATGCAGGGGCAGTAGCACCCTTTGCCACCCCTGTAGCAATGAACTTGCATTTGCAGCTCCTGATTAAGAACTGCTGTGTATTTGTCATGGTCCTTAAAGTTTGTGTTGGGGTAAAATCTAAAAAAAAAAAAAAACATATCTAGTACATCTCCATGATTACACGCACATTTCTAAGTGTTTTATCCATTTAAATACCCTAAAATGCACTCGCCTTCTAAGCCCTACTGTGGGCCCTGCCCTGTTCTCTTTTGCTAAACCATTCAATCCCTCCCCGTATCCTATCCTTACAACATAAAGGCCTCATTCACACTGGATATTTGTGACCCTTAGGGGCGTCTGGATTTTTTTTTTTCTACCTTTAAATGCCCCTGCGTGTTAGTCTATATGTCCATACACACATAGGCACTTAGAGGAGTTTAGAGGCAGAAAGCCCCTCCCACTGCCAGGAGAAGCAGCGTTTTGTCAGAAAAAAACGTGACACGTAAACTTTTTATTCAGTGGTTCAAGATGAGAACTGGGAGGGCTCATTAGTCCCCCCGAGATAACACAGAATATGTCCTCAGAACAGCTATGAATTTCTGACAATATCAGCTGATATATTTTGCACCTATTGAAGAGATATACCAGCTTTCAGTAATATAGTTGACAGACCAAAAGGGAAAAACTAAGGAAAGTTCATTGTCAGGGTTTGTGTAATGGGTACTGTTTGAAGATTTAGGCACTTGTGTAACATGAGGATTAAAAAGAGCGCAATGGTTAGTTTTTATCTATCAATTAACAACCTAAAATGTGCATTGTAGTCCACCGGTCCTGCATTGTACATTATGACGTCAAAAAGCCGAGAATCAACAGAGCTTCAATGAGAAGCAGCTTTGGGAGACCAGTTGTGCAGCGTGGTGGATGCTTATGAGAGTGAGGAATAAAGGTAGGTATTAGTACTTACTTCAGTTCCAGTCTACTGCTAGCCTTCATTTCTCTTTGACTTGTTACTACTACTTGTTGCCCTGTGACTAAGGCTAGGTTCACATCTACACTATATTGCCAAAGGTATTGGGCCAGCCCTCCAAATCATTGGATTCAGGTGTTCCAATCACCTCCATGGCCACAGGTGTATAAAATCATCACCTAGGCATGCAGACTGCTTCTACAAACATTTGTGAAAGAATGGGTCGCTCTCAGGAGCTCAGTGAATCCAAGCGTGGTCCCATGATAGGTTGCCATCTGTGCAATAAATCCATCCGTGACATTTCCTTGCTAATAATATTCCACAGTCAACTGTTAGTGGTATTATAACAAAGGGTAAGCAACTGGGAGCAGCAGCAACTCAGACACCAAGTGGTAGGCCACATAACATGACAGAGCAGAGTCAACGCATGCTGAAGTGCACAGTGCGCAGAAGTCCCCAACTGTCTGCAGAGTCAATAGCTAAAGACCTCCAAACTTCAGATTAGCACAACAACAATGCATAGAAAGTTTCATGGAATGGGTTTCCATCACCGAACAGCTGAATCCAATCCTTACATCACCAAGTGCAATGCAGTGGTGTAAAGCACGCCGCCACTGGACTCTAGAGCAGTGGAGACGTGTTCTCTGGAGTGACAAATCATGCTTCTCTTTCTGGCAATATGACAGACATCTCTGGGTTTGGCGGTTGCCAGGAGAACGGTACTCACATTGTGCCAAGTGTAAAGTTTGGTGGAGGGGGGATTATGGTGTGGGGTTGTTTTTCAAGGGTTGGGCTTGGCCCCTTAGTTCCAGTGAAGGGAATTCTTAAGGCATCAGCATACCAAGACATTTTGGACAATTTCATGTTCCCAACTTTGTGGGAACAGTTTGGGGATGGCCCCTTCCTGTTCCAACATGACTGCACACCAGTGCACAAAGCAAGATCCATAAAGACATGGATGAGTGAGTTTGGGGTGGAGGAACTTGACTGGCCTGCACAGAGTCCTGACCTCACCCGATAGAACACCTTTGGGATGAATTGGAGCTGAGATTGTGAGCCAGGCCTTCTCATCTGACATCCTTTTGGCAATATTGTGTATGTTGGTGCGGGACTGTGTATAAGTAGATGCAGTTAGCTACTTTGCTACTAGGTGGCTCTGTACCAGAATAGTGTTGGGTACAGCAGGTAGTGACACCAGGTGTTAGGCCCCTTTAAGTAAAGCCCTCCCACAGTAAGCTAGGTTGGGAGGAGCATACACACAGTTGAGGCATGGGAGATGAACGCCCCACACCGGTGAATTTGTAGCCAGCAGATGTAGGCCCTGGACAGGGCCAGGAGGAGTAGACCTGTATGCAGTAGTAACTGGCTGTAGTCATTATTTTACCTATGGAGGTGGGGGCTAGGGTGGATTTCAAAAGACCGTTTAGGCCAGGCTGGGGATCCCTGTGTAAGGCTGCTTCCTTGAGGGTTCCTGGGAGAGATATTCCTAGCAAGGAGGTGACTACAGAAAGCACAGCCCTAGGCAGAAGAGAGACTAGAAGGTAGATTGCTGCTAAAGTGCTGTCCTACTATCACATGACCACTGCAGACCATCCACTGAATGTGATTGGCTGTGCAATGTCAAGTGACTCCAGAATGTATGTGCTGGTGATGTGATTGTAATGCCATTTCCTGAATACCACCAGTAAAGTGCAGTAAACCTATTTCTTGTGTGGACATTCCTTTTTTTGGCTTTAGAGATCTGTGGCTGGTGATGTCATGTGGAAGCCTATGGCAAGAAGCAGGAGGGACAGTGTGCCGCTTTGGCAGCAAAACTAGCCAATCACAAAGCCTCTCTTACATGTGTAACTTGCACACATTTCCGTACTCGCAACAAAAATGCGTTGCTATTTAGCAGATATGTGGGGATGCCATTAAAGTGTTCCTAAACCCAGGACCCTGCATTCACTATATCTGGTCTCCCACAGTACACAGAACATGGAAATGCAATTAATGTAGTAAACATAAACTGCTAAATACCTTTTCTTATCAGCAGTGGAAGCATTCTTGTGACTTCTATCAGTGTCTAGCAGAGCACTGGTTAAAGCTTGTAGGAGGAGTTTTCATTCTCCTCTAGGAGGATGCAGGACCCCTGACCTCTGCCTGGACAGTGCTGCTTGGCCCTGTGCTGATCACAGGCAGGGGCGGACTGACCATTTGGAAACTCGGGCACTGCCTGAGGGCCCGGGGTCAGTAGGGGGCCCCATGAGATGCCCCTGGTACTTTTTTTCATAGGCTTTTTAGAGTTTGGACAAGGAAACAGGGGCCCCATGATCCCCTATTGCCTGGGGAACCCATGATTTGTCAGTCTGCCCCTGATCACATGCATTCTCCCAAGAAAAAAAAAACCCTCTCTAGCAATACACACTAAACTGAGCATGTGCAGAGTGACTCCAAACCTCTGTTCTATCAGGAAATATTTAGGGGACAATGGAAGAAGGGGAGGATCAGCGAAGAGAGGATCAAACATCCTTTTTACGCAGTGTGGAGAATTAACCCACAGTGAATATAACAAGCATGCTTTACTGCATATACAGACTGATCTTACTGTTGTGGGTTTAGTAATTAATTAATTCTTACTGGCCCCACCAGGCATGGAAGAATGCAGTGTGCTTTCCCATGTGCAGGAAATGAGTAGTACCATGCTGCTTTCATGTGGTTGCGGTTTTAGAAAACTCTCAGGGACCTCTTCCTTGTGGTTCTGCAGGAACAGAAGCCTATTCTGCCAGCGCAAACGTAGCGGCAGGGAACCACGTATCTGTGAACCTAGCCTAAATAAAACTGCTACTTTGTATATTTCCTGTTTATTCCTATAATGTAAAACTGCACTCTCCATTGGCTGAATGTTTAATAATTAAGGAGCATAAGAAATAAACCTAATAGAGCTATATTTTAATATTGGATAATGTGTTTTCCCACAGATGAGATAAATTTAATAAACAAACCTCCGATGTGCCAAAAAATCTCCGACTCATGCAGAATTGTAACTAAGGACATCAGCCTAATTATGGCATGCCTTGCGCTCCTGTAATTAAAATTGCTTTCCTGCATAGAAGATTTAAAACATAATAAAGTAATACTATGCAATGCCTAGGGTATTTGATGAAAGTCTAAACCAAGAAAACAGCTCAATACACAGCAGGAATACATGTACTTTAAAGTGCTTGCAAACCTCAGACATGAAATACGGACAAAGCACATCCCTCTGTAGTGTGTACTTGTCTCAATCCAGAGCACTAATTGTCATTTCTGTCTGCTGCCTTGTTCCTCTGCTATCAGCATGAATCACTTCTGATGAGTTTTCCTGACACCAAGAGAAAAGAGGTGACAGAGGAGGGCTCAGCCTGTGATTGACAGCCTCAACCTCAGCTGTCTTCCTGTGTGTTTGTATGAAGGGGGTGTGCCCCTTCTCTTCAATCAGATCTCAGAGTTCTCCTCACTGATCTAACGTCACCTCCCCGCCCCCGCTTTTCAGAACTCAGAGATCCTCTGTAAATTCTGCACCTTGAATGGATGTAGGGGAAAGATAGTTGTGAATAAACAGGCACAACTTATGCAGGAGGATTTATTTCTACACTGTGTATCAACTGAGGCCAGTCACTTCACTGGGTTAATGTAGGGATTGTTTTCAGCGGGAACATGGGGGAATGCAGTTCCGGCACCTCCAGCACTGAATGTATGTAATGGCAAGGTGTGCTGTGGTGTGTTGGAGGATCTATTGATGCTGGCTGCTAGGGGATCTATTGTCACTGGAGAGGATGTATTTTTTTGCATAGCGGTCTATTGTTGCTGGTGGTGGTCAATTGTTGTTGGAAGGATTCTACTGTTGAGGGATGAGTCTATTGTTGCTGGGGGGGGGGGGGGGTCAAGTGTTGCTGGAAGGGATATACTATTGATGGGTCTATTGTTGATGGGGGGTCCATTGTTGCTGGAAGGGTTCTACTGTTGAGGGATGGGTCTGTTGTTGCTGGGGGGTCAATTGTTGATGGAATGGATCTACTGTTGAGGGAGGAGTCTATTGTTGCTGGCTGCTGGAGAGTCTATTGATTCTGGCTGCTGGAAGATCTGTTGTTGCTGCTGAGGGTCTATTGTTGCTGGGGTGGTATTTTGTTAAGGGTGTCCATTGTTGCTAGGGAAATCTGTTGCTGCTGGTGGGGGATCTATTGCTGCTGGCGGCAGGGGATCTATTTTACTGCTTTTCTTGCTATCAATAACATATTCTATACAAACTACTTAGCACCACAAAATGATACTTGGCTCTGAATTCTCTAAAAGGAGCGATACTGGCAGGTATGTAGGGGACGGAACCAAGGGGCAGTGCTCAGAGGTTGGAAGGGGGCGGCGTGACGCAGAAGGGGAGTGTTCCTGCACCTATTCTGTGAGAGAAAAATAGCCCTGTGTGTACATAAGGGTTTACAACCACTTTAACTGTAGTATCTGGCAAAAACTTTGTAACACTGGTCAGCCAATTTCCCAAACCAGGCAACCCTGCTAGACAGCATAGCCAAGGAAATCAGTCTATAAATCAATCTAATTACCTACCCAGGTCTGTTAAGTAAAAGCAGTATTAAATCTAAAACCAAAAATTTAATATATTGCAGCTCCAAGCAGTACCTTGAAGAAGGGGACATACCCAAAAGCTTGTCCTGAAAATTGTATGTTAGTGCAAATAAAAAAGTATCACGTCAGTACTCAATTGTTTCTGTCGCAAGTGCACTAATATGGCTACAATCACCTCATGTATTTTTTGTAATCCTTTTTACATTTTTTTAGCAGTTTCACACTTACATATTTGATCATCTTCCACGCTTAGAGAGATTGTGCTCTGAGCTTTCTGATCTTTCTCTATCCACTCATCTGAAGGACGTTCTGGCCTGACTTCATTTCCACGTACCTTCTCTTATTAGCAGCATTTTCATTTTCAATTTCCAGGACTGGTAGTTCTGGTTTGTCAGACTTGCAAATTAAAGCTTTGTTGCAGCTGTGTTACTGGCCATTTTCTTTTATGCTGTTGCAGTCTTCTTTCTGTTGCTGTATCTTACAGTTCTTTGTTGTAGCAGGCTATGACTAGGTGTCTGAGCCCATAACCTTTTAGATATTCTGTATATAGCCCTACAGAATAGACCGTGCACTTTCTGCTCTGTAGGGCTTTATACAGAGTTTCTAACAATATTGGGTTCAACTTCTGTGTTTTATTAAAGAGTTAAGCTGCCAGTGGATGGTGCCAAGTCAGCAGGTGACCATACTGATTGGACAGACTGGGTCTATGGAGGTATTTCAATGCAAAAAAGGGATTTTGAAAAAAAAAAAGCGGGGGGGGGGGGGGGGGGCTACATTGCATTGTGTTTGAGAGCATTCTGTATATAGCCCTACAGAATAGACCGTGCACTTTCTGTTCTGTAGGGCTTTATACAGCGTTTCTAACAATGTTGGGTTCAACTTCTGTGTTTTATTAAAGAGTTAAGCTGCCTGTGGATGGGGCCAAGTCAGCAAGTGATCATATTGATTGGACAGACTAGGTCTATGGAGGTATTTCAATGCAAAAAAGGGGATTTTGAAAAAAAAAAAAAGGGGGGGGGGGGGGGGGTTACATTGCATTGTGTTTGAGAGCATTCTCCAAAGGTTATTTGAGTATTCTAGCCCTTGCAGTAGCACATATCAACTAATAGAAACGTAAAAAAAAAAATCAGTATATTTATTAATTTAGTA